CAGAGCCTTGCTCTTTCCTCACCGGCTTGGAGGTGCCAGTGGTGGCAATCTCTCCGCCCTCCCGGTTCAAGCCTCTTGCTATTTTTGAGTAGAGATGAGTTTTTGCCAATGTTGGTCAGGCTGGAATCTCAAGACTCGCCTGACCCTCAGGTGATCCGCTCTCCTCGGCTTTCCAAAACGTGGATGGAGATTATCAAGGCCATGAGCCACCGATTACTGGCCCCCTTCTTTTTTCTTTCTTGTCTTTTTTTTTTTTTTTTTGGAACGGAGTCTTGCCTCTGATGTCCAGGCTTTGGGAGTGCAGTGGCGCCATCTCGGCCACTGCACAGCTCCGCCCTCCCAGGTTCGCGTCAACGCCATTCCCCGCCTCAGCTTCCAGAGTAGCTGGGACTACAAGCGGGCCCACCACGTTCGCCCTGGCCAATTTTTTGTATTTTTAGTAGTAGATGGGGTTTACACCGCGCGTTAGCACCGGTATCCAGTCTCCATCTCGCTTTAGACATAAGTGAATCCGTCCGCCCTTGGCCTCTTAAAGTGGCTGGGGACTTACAGGGCCAAGAGACACGCCCCAGCTCCCCCGCCCTTTTTTTTCCCGTAATGGCGGATTCCTCTTCTGTGGTTTCCATCGATGAAATGCAAGGGGAGGGCTGGATGGGGCGGCTCGACGCCTGTAATCCCAACTTTTGGAGACGAGGCAGTGTGGATTGACGACGTCGGAGGTCCGGGACCAGCCCTGGCCAACATGTGAAACGCCCGTCTACTTCCTAAAACATACAAAAACTTAGCCGGCGTGATGTCGGGCTCCTGTGATCCAGGCTACTGCGGAGGCTGAGGCAGGGAAATCACTTGACCTTTGGCAGGCGGGAGGTGCAGTGAGCGAGATCGGGGCCACTGAACTTCCAGCCTGAGGAATCAGGGCGAGACCCGTGAGAAAAAAAAAAAAAAAAAAAAAAAAAATGCATGTAAGGGGATAAGGACTATCTTGTTGTCAGATCGGTTTATTGTCAAATTGGTTTATTACGGAGCTTGTCTTCACCCACTTAAATTGCG